AGTGTAGAATGATGAAGTAAACATAGTCAAAAAAGGTGACATATGTATTGTAAAGGGAATCTTAGAATAAAATGTAAAACAGAAAAATATAAAGTTATATAAGAAATGGAAATAAATAGTAAAATTAAGATATAGTGAATAGAAAATTGAGATGTTGTAAAGTCTATCAATATGTACATACAAAGGATGAAATAATAAAGAATTAAAACTGAAAAGGAATGAAAGGAAGGAAGAGAGAAACTGAGAAGGTTGAAATAAGAAAGAGAATAAGAATCAGAAAGAGAATCTTTCATCTTAGAGCAGTCAGGTTGTTATCATTTTTCTCTTACTTATTCTCTCTTACATCTCAATTTTCTATCTAAATATTCTATTCACTATATCTTAATTTTACTATTTATTTCCATTTCTTATATAACTTCATATTTTTCTGTTTTACATTTTATTCTAAGATTCCCTTTACAATACATATGTCACCTTTTTTGACTATGTTTACTTCATCAATTCCACACTTTGTACCTATTATTATTATTTGTCTCTTGTTCTTACTATTGTCATTATTCTAACAACTTCATTTTACTGTAATTTTTATATTTCTCATACCTTGTTATCTGGTTCTTTTCTTAGCCCTGATGATGGCCTGAACTTCAGGTCGAAACGTCGGCATATGTAGAAATAAATATTATCATTTATTTTTGCCTTTTTTTTTGACTGACCACCCCAACTATTCTTCTCTTCATTATCCACAACAGTCAACCATTTACCAATTATGAGTATATTTTTATAAGTTTATTTCAATGAGATAATTTTTTCCCTCTTCATTCTTCCTGTAAATTCCTATTAATCCATAATCACTTTATGAATTAGACAAATAATCACTTACACTCGTTTATATATGATAAAACAACAGTTATATTACGATAAGAGACAATACTGAGAGCACTTTTTGAAAATTTGTTTGTTTAACTATTAATATTCAATCAGAAATTGCGGTTTATTTATGTATTTTGACGTGTGATGTCAGATGAAAAACTCGTGAACATATTTAAAAAGGTTTATATTCTTGGAATCGGAGTTACGTTGGATAAAAAAAAAAGAGTACATACTGGGTTTTTAACTATCAATAAAACAATAATGGTGGAATTTTAGAAACCCGTTAAAACATCATTAAAAAACTCAATTATTATTATTTTTTAATTTACGAAAAGTATATTAATCTTTCCTTTGAACGGTAAACTCCATAAATTTATATTGAAAGTAAAAATATATATATAATAAAATTATTAATAAATGAAGAAATTATCAATGCTGCACAATAATAATACAATGAACTTGCATGGAATACAGATGAATAATTTTGAAAAATATAAAATGAAGCTGTTTGCAGACAATTTAATTTATTATTTTAATCTTGAACGGAATTATATTTCGTATTGATTAAAAAATAATTATAACCATGAAAAATTATTTTAACTATGGATTTATGTGGAAAACAGTCATAGAACATTCAATAAAAAAAATGGTGACTTTTTTCGGTTTTGGTACACAATCAGTCAACAAAATTACTCACATAACTGTTTTATTCTATTGTATAGGCGCACCAACGAGGGTTGCCTTTCACGTCAGGGCTGTGCTCCAGAGGTCGCGGTCAAGGCAATCCCTACCCTGAAGACCCCGGCCACCCATCTCTTCTTCCACTTCATGGATCCATCTTTTCCTAGGTCGTCCTGGCCTCCGTCTTTCTGGTGGTTGCCAATCTAGGATTCGGTTAGGCCATCGCGCGGTAAACATTCTTCTTCCATCCTGTCTCTAACGACCTCGTTCCTAATTCTATCCATCCTTGTCACACGTAGGTATCTCCAAAAGTGCATTTTCGCAGCTTGTATCTTTGAATATAGCTGGGATGACATGGTCCAGGTTTCAGCTGCATACGTCAAAATGGGTTCTACGATAGTGGTATACCCTTCGCTTCTTTTCTTTTAGAATTCCGTAGTTCCACAAGACGGATGAAGCATTCTTGTGGCTATCCGAGCTTGCTCCACCTTTCTCCACACATCAAGTAGCCCGAGGATTAAAGGTAAGATCCCAGATATTTAAATACAACTTTGTATAGGTCCGAGAGTCGACACGAAGATTACCGGCGTCCTCGGTGCAGATGGCCATGTATTCTGTCTTTGATGAATTCACCTTAAGCCTTACAGATCCATAACATGCCCATAGTGAGCACATGATCTCTTCCAAAAACATCTCGGCCAAAAAGAGAGACACCAGCTGTTCATCTCTGATCTATGGTCCCACATCTCCACACCGACGATACCATTGCTTGATGGATTCACATAGATATATCTTGAAAAGAATCGACGCCATACTACAGCCCTGTTTCAGGCCATTAGTACCCGAGAAAGGCTCCGTCAGTCTATTTCCAGGAGGCCAAAGGGCCCAAAGTTTTGAACATTGTAGAAGAAAAAAGGCATTGGTCCATTTTTTTAAGATTAGCAAGAATGACTGTAGAAATGTTAAGACAAAACAAATGTTTAATACCCTATAAAAATTATGCCGATAGTATAAAACATTGATTGAATTCTTTTCTTTAATTATTAAATCTACTTTTGTTAATAAATAATACATACTAAACAGAGCACTAAGTATTAAAACTATGTGAGAAACGTTTAGACCATAAATACAATAACACAATATTAAAATAAATCTAAAAGTAAAGAATTGAAATTAAAATAGAAAGTTAAATGATAGTAACCATTGTACAAAAATTAAAGTGAAACATTCAAATATAATATAATAAATTATAAATCATATTCAAAAACTCATTCATAGTCAGGCTAGGTAGCTCCAAGTCCTGACTCCACTTGTGAAGAACAAGGAAATACTATAAGAGGTCCTTATACTTCTCTCTAAGCCGTGTGACCGAAATGAAAAGCAAGTAGAGGCTTAAGAGAGAAGCACTAGAGCCACAAACGCTCAGGACTAGAGTAACGATTCAGGTCAATGCCAGGGCTTAAATAATATATTTACAAAATATCTCGAGGCCACTGTCGTTTCAATCTTCAAAGTGGATTATAGGCATGGTTGGAGGTGGACAGGGATTGTGCTGAGGATTAGGAAGAGCAAAAGGTTCCGATGAAAGTTTAAGAATATGGATGGGGGATGACCTCAAGGAGTTAAAGGATATTAAAGGTCTTGATATAAAGTTGGGTTTGTAACATAATATGGAGCATTGACTATTGTGTGGAGGGCTTCAGACTGGAAGATCTGGAATAGCTTGTTTTCAATCGAAGTTTCAGTTAAGTAGTCTGCATAACTGACTAAATTATCTTTCAAGTCTGGTAGGTGGGTTCCGTGTTAGTCTTTAGCCTAAGAAGGGAACCAAATGCAATGGATTATGTCTGAAATGGTAAGTGGTATAAGTTCAAAAGGATTGGGTGATAGGATATGCGTCAGAGGGTAAAAGTGATATGCTTCCATTTGGATTCATTGACTTCGATGCACCAATTGTTAACTCACTGCTCAATTAAGGAGAGGTATCTTTGAATGTTAAAGGATGCTGTTTCAGAGTCTCAGTAAGATGATAGGATGGTGGTATCGTCAGAAAATGTCGGCGGAGGATGAAGAGGATGTAGAGAATTATATTCGAAAATTAAAACAGATGATTTTAATTCATGAAATTACTGATTAATCAAAATTTAATATCTATGCTGTTCTGTGAATAAAAGAATACTTGTTCATACATTTTATTTATTTATTTTATTATTAATTTTTCGTGCAATTTGCAATAAATCTGAATTCATTTCACAAGATCGTATCAAGAATAAATATATCAATTGATATATATAGATATCGTTCTTGTTAGTGTAAGTGAAATATTACCGAATCTTTGTGCTTTCTGCAATCTTTAAGATAGTGTAAAAAAAAAATCACTTCGAAAAATCTTTTGGATTCCAAATTTAATTAGAAAAAAAATTGACTGTAGTAACTAAAATCAAGTTTCAGTTTGCAAACCCAGACATTTCAAAGGTTGAAGGTAAACCGAAATCTCAAAATCTTATTCACTGAGAATAAAAAAGATTGTAATAATAATTAAAAAAAATAAAATATCTTTCCTATACTTAAATCACATGGTATGCATGATCTTTTCTTCCTTCAAAACTACTCAAAAGAACTTTCTTTTGTTAAAAAAAACAACTAACAAAATAAAAGCAAGAAAACATAGTAAATGTACTAAAGCAATATGAACCTTTTTGTATGTCAACAATAAACACACAACTTTCTGATTCTACAAAGGGAAAATTCATCCAAATTCTTGATCATTTAAGGTTATTAAATGACTTTTTGAAATAAACAGACGATATATTCTTCAAAACCATTCAGGAGATATCATTGACGTATTTTACAATAAAAAAAAAGTTAAAAAAGTAAATAAAAAAGAATATTTAAAGGACATAATTGGAAGATTGGTTATCACTTTAATAACCTCACCTTCCTAATTCGTTAGTTTTTCTTTCCTCTTTATTTGCATTCATAAAAATTGGTTTATTACAGATTTTTACTTTCCTTTCCTTTCAATAGTTCTGTCCTGTTTTTAGTCGAAGTATAATATCCATAAAGTGTCTCAGAGACCCGTAAATAACTAACTAGTAAACGTAAGAATAAGAAGAGATTGCATAAATGCAAGCAAACACTTAAATGATAAACGTAATTTACCATTATTATTATTTTTAGTCAAGATTTTCTATAATCTTCCAATTATAACCTAAAAAGTATTTATGTCTCTTTTTTTGAGTGTTTATGCTATTTTATAAATTAAAAAAATATCAGTTTGAGGAACCACATACATGACATAAGACTAATGGTTATACTTGAGGAAAGATAATAGTAAAATTATGTTTGATGTCGATTTATAAAAAATAGTGAAAGTTTTATCAAGATACTACGTTACTATAAATTTCTATTGACCAATGGAAAAGGTACATCAGGAGAACCTTGAAAACTCATCGTAGTGCAGCATTGACACAGCTGTAGATGACAGAGGAGATGCAGGAGGGGTTGGTATCGCCCGCTAGAGGTTGTGCAATAGCGACTAGAGATAAGACATTACGGTGGTGACAACTTCGGATAGAGGACTTACCTTCAAAGAAGTTCTCTTTGATGTTGCTGCTGACACAGAACGGCATAGCTATCTTTGTGAATGAGATTTAGTCCATTTGATATGTGCGGGTTCGAAGAGCCCTCGCCTCAGTTGTGCTCGTGGTAGACTGGCGCATTGGGCAGCTCCTCTACGGCTCCGTATTGATCCGGGCTGGGCCCTCCAACGCAGGACCATCCTCGCTCACAAACCCTTTGGCCACGATTGCGAAATCCAAACTATGACGTGGGATTATCCCCTGTACGCAGGTTCCCCGACGTTATCATCTTAAGTCCAAAAATGGACTAAATCGCATTATTAAAAAAAAAAAAACGCTCGTTGAAACGGTTTTGATAACATGAATATGACATTCTGCACTTCAGTAAGATATATTAACATTTTTGCACAGAACACCTGTTGAATGAACAGATACACATGAGTCCTACATTAAAGTAAACGTTAAAAATGCATCGAGTAAATTCTTCATTAGTTACCCACTAAGATTTAGTTTATATAAAGAATAATTTATTTATAATAACATTTGTAAAAGTTTATTCGGAGAGTAGGATGCGTATTGTTAACTGTGTTTTTTTTTCACCTCAAATACTTATCAGATACGAAACAAACTATACTTAAGTTCGTATATAAGGAGGACTCGTGTATTAAACCCGCGCCAACTTGCTTGCAAGTACAACACCTTAACGAAAAGGCGTAGCTGAGAGAGGAGATAGAAAAAGAGCGGGAGACCGGGATACTGTACAGAGTGTACCAAAATTTAAAAAATATATATAACTTTGTAAAGAAATAATGTAATAATATACTGAGCGAAAAAATCCGAAAATACCAAGAGCTATGCGGGGAATTAAGACAATTATACCGGCTGGTGGATGTTAAGATATAACCATTATATTATTTGCTGCAGCTTGATTCCTGAGGCTTAACTCAGGAAAACTCCGAGCCTTTCTCCCCACTCATGAAAAGAAAGGCAGGACTCCAGGAGAATCCAGCGTCTCTCACTCAGCCGTATTATTGGTATTAAGAACCATTGGAGGATGAGCAGAGGCACAAATCCACAGAAGTACATGGCTTGTGTGGAGAATCTGGCCATAGCCAGAACGGAGCTCAGTTTTAAAAATATAATTATTAAAAAACAATAATGAAACGATATAATACAATATAAAGTAAACTATAATACACAACATGTATTAAAAACAATATGAGAAAAAAAAGAGTAAATAAGATTTAAAATGTTCTTTTTAAAATAAAGCTTGTAAATTATTTAATAAAGTTATAAAATAATTATTTCTAAATTTTTAAAAGACAATTTTTAGTGTTTTTGATAATTTCGAATCAACATTCTGTCCCTTGTCGCTTTTATCAAGTTCGTTTCCCCTCAGTGGATAATTTGATCTCTACACCTCAGGTCTTCATCTGCAGCTCACTTGATCTATCCAAAGGATAAAAAAGGATATCTCAGATATTTTTTTTTTACAGAAGATTTTCGTAGAGGAGAGCTCATGTAGTAAAATAATTTGTTTTCAATGAATGTTTCATGTGCGAGCTAATCGAGGCCTTGATGTCTGAGTGTGCTAAGGTATCAACTCAGCACCCTCGAGTTAGAAACGGAGCCGGTTCGATTCCAGGCTGAATGGATTTAAATTTGTTTCTTGGAGAATATATGTAATGATGTTGGAGCTTCCCTAATAGTGGGAATGAATCGTGCAATGAGGCGGACATGAAGCAATATCCTGGAATCCTGGAAATGTATGATGATAGAAGGGGAGGGGGCAATCTACGCCAGTGGCTCCGCGTGATTGGATGATCGAGATTACTACAATATTGAACTTGGATTACAATTTTTAAGATTAAAAAGATTTTAACAGTTGGAACAATTATATCTACAAAATTTCAAAAAGATATATTTATATACAAGGAGATTAAGATGAGGAATGGAGGGTATTTATTTTAATTTAATTTTTTTTCTTTACTGGTTGTATTTTTATCATAAATATTTTCTTTGAGAATCTTGGAATATTAGCAATGTGTCCCTGTCAAAAATTATTCAGAAAATTGTGGTTTAAATAATTTAAAACTTTATTTTATTAAAATTAACATTTTGTATTAAAACATCTTCTCTCCCTTGTTACACCTATATAAATATCTGAACAAACAATGAGTATTAAATCTGTATTCACAATTCATTCATTTTCAGGTTCATTTTTATCTGAAATTGAAAACACAATATTGAAGGTGACAGACAATACAATAGATATAATGGTGTTATATGAAACTTTGCAAACTATTGTAATACAAATAAAATAAAATAATAAAAATGAACCGTACAAAAATAATACCTGTACAACAAAATCAACATTATGAATGAAGTATTGTGTACATAAAGGAGAATTTTCGAACAGGTGAGAGAACAAGAGTGGTTAAAAATAACAAACAAAGGGCGCCAAAATTGATCCAGCGCTATTCATTATCTACTGGAACAGACCTTCTCTCAAGTTAAGCTTAATCCTCCCTTAGTAACCAACTTAGCTTTTGTCTACTTCAATTCTCTTATTATCTAATGTTAAAAACAATAAGATGCTGAAGGAAGTACAAAAGTATCAAAACTTATTGCAGAATAGTTAACATTTATTATGATGAATGTGCGAGTACCATATGACTATTATATGTAAGTTATTTTCATTGATTTAGAATGACGGGCTTTCCGTTCACGTAAATCCCATGATCATATTTTATATTACCCATTCATGTTTTACCAACTTTACCTCGAACAACATTAATCCAATAACGTTACAGTTTTTTTTTTCGCAAGTCGTGATCTCCAATCACGATTCATGCTAATATTTTTTTTAAGTGAAAAAATTTAATTTTAAAAATTCTGAATCCAACCATTTTTAAATTTCCAGTAAGAAAAGATGATTTTTCATTTCTCGAACATATAGTCATGTGGACATTGTGGATTGATAAAAAATCATTTTAATTGCTAACTCAGTAAAGTATAATTATGACGAAACCAACAACTTGTGGAAAGATACATTTAACCTGATCTTAATATGTTTGCTATTATCATGTATAGTCACTTTCAGGTCTTGGTAACACATGCAAGCGTTTAAGTTTCTTATTTACTATTTATGTCACTCCTACCATCGTCAATCGATAGGTTGATTATGGTACCTTTTTCTAATTACAGTGCAAAGACAATTATATCGATTAAGTGGAACTTCCATAAGGTGATTTTAGATAAACATTTACTGTAACATCCCAGGCTTATAACTATCTTAACTACGTAATCTCAGAATAGTACTTCTGTTTTTTGAGCTAGGCAGTTACACATATAAACAAAAAATTCGGCGAAACTTGTTTATTTTGACTCAGGGGGAGCTCAAAGCGTTTATTTCTGTTGAAAACTCCAATTAGATTTTATTCACTATCGCAATACTTTCCCTTACTAAATATATTTGTCGTATACAGGTTAGTGAAAGAAAAAAATTTGTACTTGAACATTTTTAAAAAGTATATGTCATTTACATAATTAAAATTTCGAAATCCGTAAGCGATTTATTTAATATAATTACGTATTGGTTTATTGTGAAAAAACATGATATAAAAAAATAAAACGTTCCGGATAATCCGGGTTTCGAAAATAGCAGGTCCGATAGGTTGGGTTTTAATTAGGTTTCTGGTTATTATTATTTAGCTACTAGTGAATAGTCTGGAATAAATACAATAGTGGGCGTATTTTGTCTTAAATAGTTGTTAACTATTTCAAACATGGTTGTTGGCACAATGATGTTATCTGTAGCAGATATCATCATTTAGCTAGTTGATGAACAATTTGCTGACACCACTTCGCTCTATATCAATTGATAATTTGTTAATAAATATGGAAAAAAAGACTATCTCTTGATATGAAATCGTGGACCAATTGGTTTTAAAATAATTTATGCAGTGAGTGCCTCATAAAATTGCGCATTTTAATATATTTATATACTGAAAATTCACATATTCATATACTTCAATATATTTTAAAATGATTGCATATATATATTTATATATGTACCTATGTTTGTATTCTTTAACGTCGATGCAACGTAATGGAGCTGTTTATACTTGCAAAATATGTAATGTTTGTTAGCTCTGGCTTTATACCCTAACCATCCATAACGTTCTGTCCAACTTATCAATTCACAAAGCCATATCATATCTAAAGAGATCATCATTTAACATTCAAAAGAATTTCATATTAGTAATAAAGTAAATATACACTAAAATCCTTCTTTATCACTTATAGGTATTAAATATACAAACAAATAGGAGGATAAGAAAATATTAATATATAGCAATGATTGATTTATAAGAGGCCATAAAACACTCAGCGGCTAAAGATATTAAAATGATGACTAAAAACTGTCATCCGTCTGCTAGGACAATCCACTTCAAGGGAATCACCAATAATTAACTCCGAAAAGCGCGATAAATGTCTCGCCAAAATTCCTTTATTGTTTATTCCTTTTATGGATGGAATATTAAAAAAATCATATTGGAGAAACCCCAAGAACTCTGATAGGACACAAATCCTGATGCTAATATCAGCCCAAGCTATGAATTTCGCAGATGATGTAGTGATAGCAGATGATGAGTGGAAGGAATAATTATATAGACAAGGTAGGATCATAAATACAAACAAAAGCAAGATAATTAAAGCAGGTGAACTAAATACAACTGTAACTTGTAAACAACGAGTGAACTTCTTCAATGTGTAAACACCTACGACAGTATGCAGATATGGAAGAGTTAAACATGAAGTAAACAGCGGAAATTTTATCAAATTAGTCACATAATTGGAAAAAAAGAGATGTTCCACCAAGCCACTGGTGTGTAAATTAATTTTCCTCAAACAATCCTCCTGTATGGAACAGAACAATGCAGTCCTATGGGAGGAATTAAAAGTACTATCACTGAAGGAAAAAACAGAACAAAAACTGCGATAATTTGGACAAGTCTACCGACACACGGAGAACAAGAAAATAAAATGGTTCATGGAAGCTAACTCAATAGGGAACACAAAATCACATACATGTAGACTTAGAGGAACATGAAGCATATAGAGGAATCAATTGTCCAGATGAAAAAAGAAGACCATTCAGAGGAATGAGAGGATAAAAAAAAAGATAAGAAAATAA